ATAAGGACGAGGACCAGGAGCAGGAATGGAGACGAAGGGGCAGGAACGAGGAGGACGACGACGATCAGGTGCGCAGCCTCCGGCCACCAGAGGGGCGAGGGGTGTGGTACGGGAGGTCCAGAGGGAGAGCCCGTGTAACCCTCGCCCCGGGGCATCTGCAGAGGGGGCCCAGACCCCCTCGGGTCATGAAATAATCATGACGGACAGGTTTTCCATATTTTCGGCCTCCGGGGGCCCTTGCCAGGCCTCGGGACCGTGAAATCACGGCTCGGGATGAGAAACTGGTTCCGGGGAGTGGGTCGAGACCTCTGGAGGCCGACGTCGTGAAAAATCATGACGTTGGGAGTCTGGAGGGGCGGGGGCCCTGGGGGGAGGGCCCTTGAGACAATCCACCGACGACGACGACGACGACGACGACGACGACGACGACGACGACGACGACGACGACGACGACGACGACATAGCCCGGAGCGGAGGGAGGAGGCCGAGGGCGAGGGACGGGGCCCCCCCGGACGCTTGCATCGCCTCTTGCGGAGCTTCGGACGCTCTCGTCGACCTCCTGGGTTTTTCCTTGCCTGGAGCTGCGTCCCAGCAGCTGGGCCTCGCCGAGGGCGTTCCAGGGGGTGCCCGAATCGTCCCGAACGGCCGCCAGAGACCCGAGCTATGGCCCCGGAGCCACGCATCCGGAGTAAGCTGATTATCAGGAAGGTTTTGCGCGCCTCCGATAATCGCCCATTGATCGCCGAGAGGAGCCCGATAGCCCCACCGCGCCCAGGAAGACGCCGTCGCGGGAGCAAGAGGGGTGCGATCCTCAGGGGCAACGACAGTGGGGGTGCGGACAGGCGTGGGGGGTGGGGGCCCAGACATCCCGCGTCTCGAACGGAGGCTTTTCACAGTGTTCGGCCTCTCGGGGCCCTTGCCGGGCCTCGGGACCGTCAACAAACGACACGGGATGAGAAGCCAGTCGTGGGGAAGTGGTCAAGAGGTTGGGGGCCCGCGTCTCGAAAAAATTGAGACGCCGGATGTCTGGGGATGCATCGACCCCTGTTCGCCTTTCGATCGCCGATAGGGGCCCGATAGCCCCACCCGCGCGGACTTGCTATCGGGGGCCTATTGCCGATCTATCGGCGAGGTGTCGCCGACTCCAGATCGATGAACCCCCCCTGTGCCAGCGCCCCCTATCGTTGCGCCTCAAGAGAGATCGAGGGGGCAGGCCTTCTCAGAAGGTGGCGGGCCTTCTTAGAAGCCCTCCAGCCTTCTGAGAAGTTTTCTGCGTCTTCGGGTAAGGCTGGGAACACTTCTCAGACGGCCGGACGGAGGCCTCCCGAGCCTTCTGAAAAGTCCCGCCCCCTCTGACTTCCTCCCTGGGCCCTGGGCTCGCTGCCGACACTCGCTGCGCTTTGGCTTGCCACGTGTTGGCCCACGTTTTGGTGAACGTGTCGCGCCAGACATTCGTGTTCAACCTGACTTGGTGTTGAGCTCCGTGTCAACACGCTACGGGCTGCGTGTTGCGTATCGGGGCAGCAGAGCCGATCTTGATCTTTGCCACGGGGCTCCGCTTTGGCTGTGAGAAGAATTCTGCACCGCCCAAACATAAGGTACTTCCACTGTGTGTGCGTGCTCCCCCCCAGGGTGCACGGCTTCCCGCGACCCGAGGAGGAGGAGGAGGAGGAGGAGGAGGAGGAGGGAGGAGGAGGAAGGAGTGAGGAGAGGCTAGGAGGATGAGGAGGAGGAGGAGGAGTAGAGGTAGGAGGAGGATGGGAGGAGGGGTAGGAGGAAAGGAGGAGGAGAGGAGGGAGGAAGAAGAGAGGAGGGAGGAGAGGAGGTAGGAGGAGGAGGAGGAGAGGAGGAGGAGGACGAGGGCGAGGACGAGAGGCAGGGGAGGAGGGAGGAGGAGGAGGAGGAGGAGGATGAGGAGGATGAGGAAGGTTTTGGGAGGGGAGGAGGGCGAGCAGAGGAGGAGTGAGGAGGAGGGAGGAGGGCGAGGACGAGGGGGCGAGGACGAGGAGGGAGAGGAGGGGGGGAGGTAGGAGGAGGAGGCAGGAGGTGGAGGATGAAGGATAGTGAGGAGGAAGGAGGAGGACAAGGGGGAGGAGGACAATGGGATTACATTACAAGTGAGGAGGACCAGGTTGATGATTATGATGATGAGGGGTTGGAGTAGCGGAGGAGGATGATGAGTAGGAGGAGGATTTTTGGTGGGGGGAGGAGGAGGAGGAAGCCCGATGGGTACCCTAGGGCTTACCCCTAGCCCGACCCTGGGCATTTCCTCTGCGCTATGCCCGCCCCACCTATCCGACCCGACCCGCTCGTCCCGGTCCGGCGTCGCCCTTCGATCCCGACCCGACCCGCCCGACCCGACCCGTCCGTCAGGGTCCGCCAGGCCCGACCCGACCCGACTCGCCCGACCCGACCCACCCGTTAGGGCCCGACCCGACCCGACCCGATCCGCCCGACCCGACCCGCCCGTTAGGGCCCGCCCGGCTCGACCCGACCCGCC